AGGGCCTCGGCCGAGCTTGCGCCCACGTGGCGTGCGGCATTCCGCTGCTGTTCTAGCCCGGGAAGTCACACAGAGGGGCTTGTGGTTTCCTGGAGATGAGACGAGCAGCAACCAAAGGCTAAAGAACAATTCTTCTGCCTTCTGTTCACATGGGGCTTTAGGGGTTTGAAATGGCCTTCGCTTATTTGGTTTTGTTCTTAGTTGGGGTCTTCAGAGCCCCCGTGTAGAGGAACCGGGCACGCGTCACTCCTCCTGTTTTACAGATGAGGGAACTGAGGCCCAGAAAGAAGTCAGCGACTTGTCCAGTGCCACATGGCTCTGAAACGCTGGGCGGAGGAGAGAAGTGAGGTCTTCTGCCTCCCGGCCTTGATTTCTTTCCTGTGCGACCAGATGCCAAGTGTCACCACGTCTTGTTCCGTTTCCAAATTAAACAGCTTGGAGCATCAGAGAAATTTTTGAAGTGGCTCATTCGTTTTTAAAGTAGGGAAGGTTGTAATGCATGTCCTGTGAAAGAATTTCTATAATATATGCGTTTACTCCATAGTATCCATGGTTTGAAAATCAGACAAAATATTGCCCCACGAAGTTTGTTACATGGAAACTTCCAGGGAAACAATAAATACCAAGTTTCAACACGTTCAAAGGATTTGTAAACTCTCTGCCTGTAGAAAGTTAATTTTGGAAACTTTGAATTCATATATACGAAGGTGGTGCTAAAAAGTAGAATAGGGGTTATACCAAAAGGGCCCTATTTTGTCAAAAACAGACAGGCATTCTGTTGATGAGCAAAATGCCCATCGCAGAGTCAGCTGAGAGTACCCGACAGGAATTTTGTCATTTTCTTTGAGTCTTTACCCTTTTGTCTCTCATCATGAGATTTCTTGATCGTTAGCTTCCCTGCCACTACTAGAAGTCTCTAGAAGGGTCCAGTAGACTGAATAGCTTGCCATCGAGTCCTAACTCGACTCAGTGCGGGGAAGATGGAAAAAGACGAAGTGGAATCAGGGTACATATGGCCTGAGCATATCCAAGCTGCGCTGGAGGCACTGGTGGGCTCCAGAGGGGGAGGAAGGGCCTCATCGTCATCCCCTCTCCCACTTAGCTACCTGACTGCCTTCCCCGAGGTCTGCTTCTGTTCTCCATTCCCTGTGAACTCTTCCTCTGCTCCCCCCTGCTCCTTTTCAACCTGAGAAGCTATTCTGTCCATCTTGTCTGACATGAAAGATTGTTCTGTTCTGAGCTCCTTGGAGACCCATCAAAAGCTGAGCCTCAGTAATGTGATGACAAGAAGGCTCATTGGTCACCAGATGTTATTGGCCCAGAAGGACACAAAGAGCACATGTCCGAGCCAGTGTGGTGCAGAGTGAGGGATTGGGCCATTAGGGCCTCGCATAGACTTGGTGAGTGCTCAGGGTGATTAAACTCTCTACAGTGTGTCCAAACATAGTGGATTTCCTCAATGCCCAGTTGCACGCCAGAACATTCTTTGCTGGAACACGGTCAGTCCAAAAAGGACTTCTGTTCCCATTGATATTCAAAGATAGCAAGATGACTCATATTTTTCACTTCCCTTCCCCTAGCACCAATATAGCCAGCCTTATCTGGCCCATTTCCCATCATTGCCATTGGTAGATGATTAGGGAGAAAAAAGTTCTCTGTTCTGCTTCAGGCCTGGTCATAAGATTCAGACCCTCATTTCGGGAGAAGAGTGGGAACATGCATAGCTTTTGTTGTTGTTTTAAACAAAGATTTTGACAAATAAATCTGAAGTTGTGTATTCTGTTTTTCTCCTATCTAAACCTTCCTGCCTTCTTTCCATGGCTTCTGGACTTAGCATAATGTATGTGTTAGTCTGTAATCCATAGTTTTGATTTGGTCAGTGAAATGCCTTTTCTTTTCCCTGGGATAAAGACGCTCACAGTAAGTTCAGGCAGCTGTGAGGTAAGGGTGGGAGGGTATTCTCCAGGCTTCTCTAAGAAACGTCTTCATGACCCATTGCTTTTGGTCACTAAATGTTACCTTGACATTTTAATGCCTGTATTTTTTTTCAGAGAGCACTAGTTTTATGGCTTGCAGTAGCCTCTCTTGCCCGCCCCCTGGGTTTAGCTCTCTATCCTAGAGTAGCTAATTATAAAAGGTTAGGTTCTCACTAGCCACATAACGAGGTGTTTTATCTTGCTGCTTTTCTGAATAAGTTATCCTTTCGAGCAGGGCCGAGGAAATGACTTCTAGGCAAGACTGAGCAAGCCATCAACCCGCTGCGTGATTGGGGTTAGGGACAGGGGACAGCAGAGACTGTGGGGGGGTGAATCTTCAAGGCAACCAGGACTCTTTGATCGATTTCCAGAGGAGCTTTCTTTGTCTTGTCTCCTAACGGCCCCTTATCAGATGACAGAGTGTCTTTAGGGCCGTGTCTTACAGGCTAGTGAGTTGGGAATGATCATGATGGTGGAGGCAGAGGGGGTGGTGATGACAGTGGCGACAATGACAATATTACAGCAATAGTAACCTGTATTTAATCATGTGACTGCACCACTTGAGGCGCCTTACAACTACTGAAGTAGCTTTCACAGTAATCCTACGAGAGAGGTCCCGCTCATTCCCTTGTGGGACCAAGAGAGTCTGAAGTAGTAGACGAAGGAACGTGTCCACGCCCCCCAGCCAGGAAGTGTGAAGGCTGGGGGTTCGGCAGATGAAGCCTGACCCGAGCCTCTGCTCTTCTGTGTGATTCCGCCTATCTGTCAAAACCTTGATGGGGAGTCTGTCCTTGTATCTTCTATATTCGTATCTTCAGCACCCAGCTCAGTAATGCTCATCAAGCATTATGTTATTATAGAAGGTCATTATCAAGCCGCTCTAGGTTGTATGTCATGGTATCAGTGACACTAGAGTATCGTGGAGGCAAAGAGCCACCAGTTAACCATCAGAAGCTCAAGGTGCGGGCTGTATATTTTGACTAGGAGTTTGAGGATTCACATGCCCTTTTCTTTTTCCTTATTACTGGGGGCTTGACTTTGTCCCTTTTAAATCCATGGTGCACTTTATTTAACTGTTTTTGGAGAAGAGCACCCAATAAGGATGGCAAGTGTTGTAGCTACACAACGTTTAGAAATTGTGGAACTGCCTTGTAAAAGTAAAGTAAGGAAAGACATACGGCTGAATTTTTACTGTTTCACCTCCGATGGTTGCTCAGTCCTTGATGACTTCTCAGGGGTGCTCCTTGCCTGGTGGCGAGCTCCCAGAGTGGGGGCCATGTGCTGAGGCCATGAGGACGTTGCTGACTCCATGATGCTTCTGCCCTGGCTGGTCCAGAGGGAAGGGAGTGGCTTGACTGAGCAGGCCCTGGAAGAGGCACTAGTCTGCTCGAACACCGATGACCCACCACCTTAATTCCCTTCTGTTGAAGCCGCTTCTGTGTCCTCAAAGAATTTATACATAGGCAGTCTCATTTAACATTCAAGGTATTTTCGGTGAAGAACTTTCACTCTAAATAGGACTGTCAACGATGAGCACCGGGTTGTATGAAAGTGTTGAGTCACTACATTATACACCTGAAGCTGCTATTACACTGTTTGTTAACTTACTGGACTTTAAATAAAAACTTAAAGGGGTGCCTGGGTGGCTCAGTCGGTTAAAGTATCGGACTCTCAGCTCAGGCTACGATCTCACAGTTTGTGAGTTCGAGCCCCACATTGGGCTCTGCGCTGACAGTGCGGAGCCTGCTTGGGATTCTCTCTCTCTCTCCCTCTCTCTCTGCCCCTCCCCTGCTTACACACTCTCTGGCTCTCTCAAAATAAATAAATAAATAAACATTAAAAACAAAGTAAGTAAAAACTTCGAAAAGAAAAGCCGAGAAGCAACCCAGTTATCCAGGAGAAGACCCTAAACGTTTAAGAATTGATAGTATTTCTGAAAATGGGTGTGAAGGTAGAGCTAAAAACAGAAGGACCACCTGAATAAAAACTCAAATCAACCAACCCACCAACATGACTGGTGTTCAGAGATTGTGCTTTGATACCTGAAAGTTTACACATAAATTCTCTCACTTGATAATGACCACGATTCTGTGAGGTAGCAGGAGAGTGTGATTATTCTCATTTCATTAATTTAATAATAACAAGTAGTCTTCATGAAGAGCACAGAATGTGCCAGTGCAGGGGCTCCTGGATGGCTCAGTCAGTTAAGCGTCCGGACCTTGGTTTCGGCTCAGGTCATGATCTTGTGGTTCGTGAGTCTGAGCCCCACTCGAACTCCGTGCTGACAGTGTGGAGCCTGCTTGGGATTCTCTCTCTTTTCCTCTCTCTCTGCCCCTCTCCTGCTTGCTCTCTCTCTCAAAATAAGTAAACTTAAACAAAAAATAAATGCTTTACGTGCACTTCGTCATTTGATCCCATGAGGTGGGTACTATTTATCATCCCATGTCATTGCTGAGGAAACGTTGCTGACGTGGGCAAGGCCACACTGTCATTGGAGGAAAGCATCAGTATTCTTATTTTACAGAGGAAGAAATGGAGGCCCAGAGATGTCTGAAACCCTACCCCCCTGAGTTCTGGTGGAGGGGAGAACCCCGGTCGGGTATAACTCTGGCCTCTGGGTTTTCTCTGGCACGTGGCAACCAGCATCTCCTGCTGGCGTACGGTCTTTGATTGGAAGAACCTAGAGGGGCCAAGCCTTTGCTTTCTCTTGTACCTACAAATGGGCAGTGAGCAAATGCTTCCTGGATGGGGGAATGGGGATGCACCCAGGGGCCACTCCTCACCCGGGACCTTGTGCTTTTTCTCTTTTCTTGCAGAAGGTGGACGTGCCCATAATGCTGAGGCTCCTCAGGGAGCAGAGGATGTTCATGATCCAGACCATCGCCCAGTACAAGTTTGTCTACCAAGTCCTCATCCAGTTCCTCCAAAACTCCAGACTCATTTAGCCCCCGACCCAGCTACTGGAAGAGGGACCCAGCTCCATCTTGCAGATGGGGACGCACCTCCAGACAACATCTGCCCCCCCGAGCCGGGCGCGGGTGGCCAGAGCAGGCAGGTCATGGGCTCCCCGAAGGCGGGAGCCAAGACTGTTCCCCAACAACCTATATTATTTTATATGAGATAATTTATTTTTTTTTCCCTTTTGGATAACTTTTGTGAATCATCGTAATGCATAATGTTTTCACGATAATATAGTCCTTCTCGTTTGAACCACATTTCGACTGATCTGCATTGTAAATATGGCAGCAGGGAAGGTTGCCCGGTGGATTGTTTTGGGGACAGAGGCATAAGGGAACACATCTCTAGTGAAGCTGTGGCCAGATTAGAAACCAAGCCTGAAATTCATCAGCCTGATTGCTCACGTTCAAATCAGAGATGGCAAGAAAATGAATTCATCCTAAAATATAAAGATAAGGGCCAAGGCCCTTCCCTGAAGGAAACACACGCACGTGTGCGCACACACGTGCACACACACACACACACACCACTATTCCCTTATATTATTCCCTTATATTTTGGGGCTTCTGAACCTTGATGGCCAGTGGCCTTCCTTCTTCCTTTCTGCCCTCATCCTCCACTGTCTCTTTTTTCCCCAAGTTTGAGTCAAAGACAGGAGCAGCTAGAGGAAATGCTGCCTTTCACCAGATGGCCCTCACCCAGGTGAACGAGGAGCTCTCTGTTGTGTCTCCTCAACACTCCTTCCTTTGAACTCTGGAGCCTGTGTTGCCCTGCCGGGGACCACGACCTCAGTATTTGCTATTGCTCCCTGCTTGCTCAGTGGGCCCCAGTCTGGTGGTCTTCGAGGCTCTGGGCCAGGCCATCTGTGCAGCTAGGCCTCTTGCCGGACTGAGAGGAGATGATGGACCAGAGTGGGAAGAGAAAGGAGACAGGCAAGCCCTTGATATTGTTTCTTATTTAAATAGGATGTGTGTGCTGGCCGGGGGCCTGCAGGTCGAGGCGGTGGGTGCATTCTGTCTTTCCATCAGTCCCCAAGTCACTGGAAACGTTATCATGGGAACAGTTGGGAAAGCTGATTTATGGGAGCTGTTTGGCACCTAGGTAGCAGGGCCCCGGCCAGGAACCACACCGAGTGTGACCCCCCTCTCTGACTGTGCTGCTGTCGCCCCAGCCTTTGGCCTGCAGGAGCAGAACTAAGCCCACTCAGGACCCTGTGGTCCAAATTTGGCTACTTGATGAAAGATGCTGGGATTTGTCTCGCACAAAGCCTGTTCACTACTCTCCCGTTTTCCATACGCCCCGCTCTCCAGTTGCTTTGCAGTTTCCTTCTGTTTGTCTCTTCCTGAGCCTACGTCAGTCACCGTCCTGAATTTTTTAGGTCAGTACACAGCCAGTTGTATTCCACACATTTCTCCTCTAGCAGAATTTTAGGAAGTTTTCCTCTCTACTGTCTAGTTCTTGAATGCAACGTTTAAACGGTGGTTCTGTTCTTAGATTTGACATTCGTGGCTGTTCCACTGTGCCTTGCTCCACTGCTGACTTTTTGTTTTGCTTTGTTTTTCCTGAGCTGAGAATGCGAAGAAAGAGTGGTATCATATCAACCAGAAAGAGCATGCCTGTGTGATGTCCGGTGACCACACCCCAATAGAGGGGTGCGGAAGCAGATTCCCGATGAACTCGTTCAGAATGGGAATCAACTCAGTTTCACATCTGGCCAGGTGTGGTGGTGGTGGTGGTGGTTCTCTCGTTTAGACTGAGAGTCATGGTGAGAGAGGGCCCCCTCTTGTTGTCCAGAGTCTGAAGAAACAGTGAAGGAGGGTAACTTCAGTTGAGCTCTGTAGATTCTGGAATTTCGGTGTATGTTCTGGAAAAGAAAACCATGAGTATGACCTATATTTTCAGTGGAACAGAGCTCATCACCCTCACCAGGAGATGCTCGGAACTTACGCTGTTAACAGGCAAAGACGTTATCTGTTGCCTTTCCTTAGACACTTCCCATCCTTGGGCTAGTCTACTGTTAGGGGTGTTTTCACAGTTGGTCTGCGGTTCCTGGCTTATTTGACAAACACCATCGGCAGTTCTCTTTTGCCTCTTAGGCCCCAGCGTGGACTCTGTTAAGACTGAGTCTCACGTGAGCAGCATATAGATCTGTGTCTCTTGGAGCTCATCACACGGGCGGTGCCTTTCAACCCACCCGCCACGGGAGTAGTTGCTAATGCACAAAATGCAGGGCAGAAGGAGGTTTGCTGTCCAATTTCCTAGCCAAAGTTTATATCGAAGCCCAAAGGAAACCACTTAAAAGTTACTCCACATATTTCACTTTTAAAAACAAATGTTTTGGGTTCTGTAGCACATTTTGCATTCCTTTTCCCATCTCCAGCGAATGCCAGCACAGCTCCTGTGAAATTAGCAGCAGGCAGTGAAAGTCCTTCTAGTGGCATCTGCACAATAATTGCCCAGAGATGCTTTATATCTGGGAAGCAAGCCAAGGAATAAACCTTGAAGCAAAGTGTATTAAATTAGTTATCTAGTTAGAGCTTTTGGAATGAGTTCCTGATGATGTATCAAGTCTGAAGCTGGAGCTGTCGGGGTCTATTTTTTTCTGTTTGGATTTGAAGAGAGAAAATTAAAAATGGAGGGTGGAAAAAGGAGATACCATCTCACAGCAAAGCCATTCAACACTTTGGGGCCTCTGGTTTTGAAGTCTTCCAGTTGAAATGTCTTGTTTCTTTGATCCGTACTCATTTGGGCACGTGGGCCCTGTGTTGGGTCTGCCCTTGTTTAACGTGGTCCCTGGATGGCGGGGGCTGAGTCTGATGTCTTCATCCTTAAGCTGAGCTGAGCCTGCCGGCAAAACTTAGCCACAGCCTGCTGAGCTTATCGGTTCCTGTGGGCTCTAAAGAGACACCACCTTTGGTAGCATTTACATTTACACACACCTGTTTCCCTGGACAGGAGGTAAAGGAGGATTTGGCTGCATTGGAGAGGGATGCCAAACGTTGATGTCTTCATAGCAGAGGAAAGAGGACTGTGCTTCTCTTCACAGTCAGAGGGGGAACGGTAAGATCAGGAAAGGTGAAAACATCTCCACATGGAATATTTTGAGGAATACGCTTCTAAGGAGCTTACATTGAGAGAATTTAACTTTTGCAATCTTTGTGATCCTAGATTGACAAAAAGAACTAATTGTTTTCCATTACTAATCTCTCACTGTTTGCCTAAGACTCACCTGGCCATCTCTGGCCCCTTCGTCATCCTTCAGCCTGGTTAGAGGGGTTTTGTGGGCTCTGTTGGGTTCTGGTGGGACTTGACCCCTGGCTCCCCCCGTACTCATTTAACTTTTAGTTTGCTTGCTGTTAGCTCTTGAGGTTCAGTTATAAACTCCAGGGGCTTTGGGAGATGAGCATTTTTATCCAGCTGCCTAGTTTTCTCATCTTTCCAGCTTAAATACAGGTTGACCATATGAAATTGACAATAGCTAGACCATTTTTTGTTCCAATGACAGACAAGTCACATAAAATCAACCTAATATGCACAATATTTTTCTTCTCCCAATACAGGATGGGTCCCAACACACCACATGTCATTTCTTCAAATAAGTGCTAACGAACCTGAAAGCATGTGAAATGGGCAGCTTGGCTCTTTTTGTGAACCTGCTGCCTTATTGTAATGAGCTTTGCCTCACTCAGTGAATGGGTCATGTCCTGGGGCTGGGAAGGCAGAGATGTTAGTACACCTAGATGTTAGTTCATTCTCATAGACAGGGCTGGCCATTGGGCATATCACTGTGGGTTTTCAGCCGCCATCTTTTTTGATGTACGATCTGTGTTCGCAGACCTCAGCCCAATGGTTATGGAACATGGCGTGTGGGCCTGAAGGTGTCCTCAGCCAGAAAGCAGAGGGTGCTTTCTAATCTCACTCCTCTACTTCCAGTGGGGCGAAGGTATAGCTATTGACTTCCTTTTTGGGGAGATGTGCCAATCACTTTGAAGTAGGGGGAGTTGGGGTATTCTTTGTGCCAGGTTGCTGAGACACAAGGGATGGGATCAGGTCAGACCCAGGTTAGTGTTCATCTGTTCTGCATTCCTCCTCCATTTTGGCAATAACTGTTGGGGTCCTAGAAGCGGAAATTTCCAGAAGTACCAAGTGATCACTGTTGGGATCTTTAGGTGGCACTATATGGGGAATTCAGCTTCCTCACACTTTACCAAAGACTCTTCTGCTGCGCTGTTTCATTGTATTCCTGTGTAGTTTATCAGACACTCATCATACTTATTTAGTGATTCCTTTTCATGAACAAAGTAACGACTCATCCAGTACTGCTTCCAGATGGAGAAACTGGGGTTTTCCATGGACACTGCACAAATTTTCCAGTGGCCTCCAGCTTTATGGATGACAAATTAGTTGGCCCTATAGGATGGAAATAATCTTAGTTGGCCCTATAGAATGGAAATCTCTGAGATGTTAAAATGTTTGACACTTCCCTTAGATGCTGTGGAAGAAAAAAAAAAGGTTCTTGTCTTTGCCTCAACTTCTGAGACATCTGGGGGCAAAAGACCTTAGTGATGCATCTTTTGAAAGTAACAGCATCATTCCTGGGAGGGAAGTGAGGGTATATCCAATCAAATTCTGCTAATCCAAATGTGTCGTCCCAAAAGTCACTGTAATTCATAGGGTCCTATAAAACTCAGTAGCCACCCTGCCCAATACCCAGTCTTTCTCCTGCCTGTGCTCACATTGTGCATTTGGGTTATAAACTCAGGTGGGTGAGCATTTTTATTCTGCTGACTACCTTTCTTATCTCCTAGCTTAACATAGCTGCATCTTTTTCTGCAAGGTCAAAATAAGTGTTCTCTATGAAAATGTCCATGAGCCTGGCATTGAGTATCTGGCATCAATCGATTTCATAAGACCGGGTCATTTATCGTCGTTTGGTGCAGGAAGAGGGGGAGGATGTGTATCAGTTCCGACTGCTCAGAGCTTGGGTCAGCCCTTCTATTTTAAAAATAAATTCAAGGACATTTTGTTACAAGGCAGGAAGGCGAGAGCTGACGTGCAGCCTGGCTGTGACGAGCCTCTGCGTAGAAAGTCACGGTTTCTTCTGTTGTGCTTTGGGACATC